AAGAGTTGACGAATGTCCTCCACCGTGAAGACCAAGTCTGTTAGAGGCTGTTCGTAGTTTCTCCTTGACAAGAGTGGAGGTGACGAGGACGCTGGGGCTGAGTATGGATACGCATAGTGTTTTCTGTAAACCTGAGATACCACTGTTGGGTCATTCGTCGGTTCTCCGTTTCTGTCCCTCAAGGAGAACGCCGATGGCTTGTTTCTGCGGCGATTTCTCATGTATTTAAACAAGACGTTATTGTTTTTTTGAGTGAGGTCCGGTGATAAAGGCTTCTGTGGTGAGGGTGTGGGGTTGATAGGTAGTCCAGCCCTGGTGACCAACAGCTCAATATTTTTTGAAGCCGAAATGCTGCCTTTCCTGAGAAAAGAAAGCTTTGTAAGGTAGGGCTCCTAAAACCCTTCACTCTGATTGCCAAGTGGGTGGCCGTGGCTTTTGGCGAGGGATCCAATCTTTTTGTTAGATAACTACATCTTGCCATGAACTTGGAGCGGCTTCAAACGTGTCTGCTCTAAACCACGACATTACGAGTGAGGGACATCTATACCCTTTGCCCTGTGCTGGTTATACCAACGTCCTGTAAATTGGTCACTTGGTCACCTTTCGTGTATCCGGCTGCTTTGTGTGACGAAACTTTATGCAGAAGGCCCTAGGCGAGATACCTTGACCAACGTCCCTCTCTCAGCCTGGACAGTCGGGAAGTATCATTTACCCCCACAGATTTTCGTCCAGAAACGTCATCCCACGGGCTCACCTGAATGCCAGTTATCTGACCTTGCAGTAAAAGGGATAGTCTTGCAGGAAACAAGAGACCGTTTATTCATATGTGCGTTCAATGTTCATGCGTTGCTACATTGACGAGCAGATGATTCTCGCCCGAACCTTATTCTTTCCTTAGGTTGGCGTATACTGTACCTCTGAAGCATTCACTGTCATGCATATCAAAGCGCCCGAAACGAAGCCAGCGGCCTCCAACTTTACCCATTGATAGCCCTGAATTAATACGCACGAAACGTGTGGTGTAATTATTGCACTTGGCCTCAGAGCTCTTCATGATTTGCCGGGACCGGATTCCAGGGAACAGTCGTCCTTCTGCCCTTCGGTTATCCAGGTCGATCGAGCTCAATAACTCTCGACATAAGAACGGTAACGGCATGCGCCACAACAGACAGCAGCCCTTATGCTTAAGAGGGACATTTTAACCGGCATCTATCCAGGCTCAATTCATCATCGAGGAGCGCTGATATCGTGATCCGTGTGGGTGATGTGTATGTTTATTTCAGTTATCTGAGTTTGTTGGAATCACACATATACACTCAATTTGGATCCATCACCCACCTCGCAGAAAAAGAAGAACAACTTCATTTGAGTTGTGTCCATCAACCGTTCTCTGCGAGCACGAATTTCCAACATAAAATCTAGCGTCGGGTAGCCTGGCGGTCATCAAGTGCAATTCAACTGTGTAATCAACAGCCGGCAACCACGGACAATTCATAGCTTTTGACTATTCTGGGACATGCAGCTTAGCATCGATCGTAGGTTAGCCTGTATGGTTTGAAAACTTAACTCTCGTAAATGCCCTTGCAATTAAGGGAAAAGCGCATCAATCTAGTGTCTTTGAAAAGCCAGCGAGACTCTGCATTTTCGAGGTGTTCTGTCTCATCTACACTCCAATAAACTAGTCGGACTTTGGTGACAAACACGTCAGCAAAACAAGAAATAGTGTAGTCAGTCGTACTGTCTGCGTTCGAGCTCTATAACCAATGNTAAAACGACTGTATAATCTAATTATGGTTGCTAGTCCTGGCTGATCCCGGTAAGTCCATTCCGGCATGCAACAAGCACGAGGGCGAATACCTTGTAGTGAACAGCTTAGGGTCAGTCCGAGAAGTTTGGCACGCGGTGGAGTCCCAGGAGAAAGGAGAGGGTTTTCGCTACCGAAAGCAGTCGTGCTCTGTGCCACCCAATGGAATCAACTGCCTAAAAGAGAGCAAGGATCCGTTGACAACAAGTGGGAAAATGGTTCATTAGTTGACTGGTAGAAAAGCCGATTGGAAAGATTAACCAAACACTTCGGAGAACCGGGATAGTAGGATCCGAAAAAAGGTTTCAGCGGCCCAAACATCCTCGACTGGTGTGTCTCCCGCGGGTGGGGACACGACAAGCGTGGTCACGTGCTTCGACTCTCTCTTCTGATTTCGCTCGCGCTTGCAGCGGTCATTCGCGAGTCTCATATACTGACTCTGGTATCAAAACATTTCAAACATCTTCGGAATCTATTATATGTGGAAACTGTTCAGAAGAAGACCTCTGGACCAACGCAATTGGATTATTGTTTATTCGCTGACCTAGACCAACGACGAACTGTTTTAAAGAGAACAATCGTTAGTGAGTCTGTTCCATCTGACCCCTTTATTTTTGTATACCCAACCTAGCGTAATTAGTTTTATTTCTTTGTAACACACTCCTAAAACTAACTTATTGGGTAGCCGGACCACTACACTAGACCGTTGAAATTCAAAGATGGCGGGCAAATACACAACAGGGGAGCCAAACCTCTTATTATTATTTTCATTATTATTATTTTTGTTGACAGTTCACTTGGCTTACTGAAGTACAGCCCTGATAAGTGTACGCAGGGGAATGTGACGTAAACCCCGATCAACTATCATAAGGCCCATTCTTAGGCGCGCATGCAAGCGTGGTTTAAACAAAAGGAGTTCTTGCACTATGCCTTAGCACGCGACAGCATTCATTTGAAACCATGTAACTTTCTTCAGATGGACGTGGTTTCTAGGGGCAGTTTGGATGTATTCAAGGTATGCTTTGGGTGTGGGATTTATTTTCTTATTGGCTGCGGTGTATCAACGTTATCTGTCTGTAAAAGTGGTGGGATATTTTGTGTTCGATTTTTTTACTCCCCCTCCTTATTGCACCCGAAATTTTTTTTCGGAGTACACGAAAAATAACTATGTTGATTTTGCCGTGTAAATTTGATGGAGCGCAGTTGATCGCCGGTTTTTGCGCAACAACGTTCTCTCGCTTCAGTAGATGTCCAGCCATTGAAAGCAAGGGTGATGAATTGTCACAGCTGGTACGTTCTCGGATCATTTCGACCAAACAAAAAACGACCATTTGCTGCCCCCCAGGAGTAAACACAAACTATATATAGTAATGATAGTGTCTATGCCCAAGTTTTGAGTGGCACTCCATTGAGGCACGACATACGCTTACAGTCAGAATAAAGCACGGCTGGGGGTTTTAGGATACTGGAAAGTGCGCGAAACGAGGACGATGTCATAAACCGTGGGCAGTATTCAATGAAGTAATAATAGGT